CGATGATTAAATAAGAAAAGTCATAGACAAATGGGTCAACATTTCTCAATTAGAAAATACTACAAATGGCGCGGTAAACGCCATCTGTAGCACGATGCTACATTTTAGGATTACGTATGCTCCGACAAGATCCACTTGTGTGGATATAGATATAGATATATAAATAGTATTTTCTAAATCGCACTGTTAAGACAGCAGGTAATAGTTGGTCTGGGTTCTGTCGGAGCTGACTGCGATGCGCTGATGAGATCCAAAAAGATCGAAATCGCGATCCGCGTCTGGCAGAATATGGACTATTTCGAATTATTTTATTTATTTCTCAATTAACTAAAGTTTATATCCAAAATTCGCACGTAGGAAGTCGAGGGAAAAGCTGGCAAAGCATTGTAGCGATCTGAACATATTGTATATATTTGAATTTTGTTTTCTAAAATTTATTTTATTTCTAAATCTTTATTTTCAACTTTAATTTCGAACTCTTGAGCATGCTGCATTACCTGGAACACCTATACCTGCATGTACCCCGTCTTATAATTACTAACAATCTGGTTTCTCCCGCAATAACATTCCATTCTATTTACTTCTGAGAATTTTTACCGTTACTACTTGTACCTTTTGTCTTTCTTCTAAACTACCCTTCTCCTTATTTATCTTCAACAATTATTAACTATAAATACCCTTATTTTCGATTTCAAAAGTTAGTAAACCAACATAAGTATTAAAAAAGCTAATTTACGCCATAATTTAACCAAAATTGTGATGACAAACATTTTCATTAAATTGGAACACATCTAATGTTCGAATAACTAATGAAAACAACACTGTTTTCTTATAAGTCGCTTATAGAACAATTTTAAAACATCGAATTTTACAAAATAGCTTCAACATTTTCACCGTTTAAATAAATATACCACGGTTGAAATAATGACCACGCAATTTCATTGAGCCTAACCTTGCGAACACAACTTAACTATGTATTAAATCTGGGTCTGGTGCATTTTTCATACGATTATACACATGTGTAGGCTGAAGTAATTATAATCTCATGTCTAAACAAATTAATGCATTCGGTCGGCGTTGTGAATTAGTAAAGACACTGTCACGGTTATGAACTTGTTTATTCCATACGGTCAAGAATACGACATAGGTATCCTTAATTTTCTAAAAAGTTGTCATTGAAACATCATTCAATATTTTATGTTGAATTTACACAAAATAAAGGAGAAAAAAATCTACAAATCTCGCGAACGATCGGTAATGTTGAAAATAGTTGCAGTTCAATAATATATATGTGAGAATATTTTTCCATTCAGTTTTACCTAGTCAAAACTAGAATTGATGAAGAGGAATGTGAAAACTTTTCACAAATAGTGGTACAGCATCCTAAGTATGGCCTTTGTATTAACGAGAACAATATTTTTATACTATAAGATTTACACTTCACTGTTACAAAACGTAAAAAAAATATGTATGTTTTCCAAGCCATACATTCCATCATTAAACAAATGACAACAATTAGCGTATCTACTGTTAACACCAACAACAATTACATCTACTATTTCTCAAGAGCTTTTCTACCACGTTCCCTGCGATTCGCATGAGATTAGATTTTTTCAATGATTTCACTCCTGAGATTTAATGTTANTTAGAAGACAGAATATAAGTAATTGATACATGAACTCATCACTCGTTTATTTCGTTTCACAGCAAACTAAGATTTATTAATTTTGAAATTTGTTATAATTCACTGATTATAATCAGATTTATGTACGCTGTAAAACGATATAACATCCGCGAGTTGTTAGAATTCCGTAAATCACGGAAGACTGTCTAATTAACAAATTTCAAGGATGTTGTTCTTTAAATTTGTTTTTGTTAATGTACATAATCGTTTATACGAAAATATTCGCAGCTACATTTCACGTGATAGTGTTATCCTAAATGAAGATAAGAGGTTTACTAATTAAATATTATACTGGCGGTGTAATAAATCATTTCTACAAAGAAGAAGAAAGTCTGAAAGCCCCGCAAATAATGGTAGCTTTTAAATATAAGCAGGTAATGATTAATTGCAAAATAATCTTAAAGAAAAATCTTTTTAGAATTAAAAGATTTAAAGTATTAATTATTTATCAATTTGTAATGTAAACAAAAAAGGCCGTTTTGAGATTTGCTACTGCACTACAGGAAAAATTATAATTATATAGTATGTCTACTTAAGTTGATAGCATATTATTAATCTTACGAAAAAAAGTTACTCTTTATACAAAGTCCTGCATGGTTTAAAACACATACCGATATATCAGGCTTAATAATAATTTGTCAGTCATATACAAGTTTTTACATAAAATATGATATTTGCGTAACAGTAAAGTTTGTTAAAAATTAAAAAGTAGTTACAAATATGCAACCATATCTATCAACTGCTTAAATTATGATTTTGTATATATTTCTTCATACACTTGTCCTGTATCAATGAATACTTACTTGCATACACATTAACAATAATACAATTTTAATCAAAGTTGTAGTGTAAATGACGTTTTTCAGTCTTTGAGGTCGTCAAACATGTTCCAAAAATTATTACTATAATTTGTCGAATGTTCACATTAATTGATTGATTTATTAGAATTAAAATAACAATTGGCAAACAACCAGTAAATTTTAAAAGAATATGAAGCAGCTTAATTTCAAATAGTAGCATTTCAAACTACAAATTATACGATAAAGAATTAAGAAAGCTCAAAAAAATATTTTATAAAATTAATTCTCAAGTTAAATGTTCCTTGTTAGGAAAAGAAAAAGACAGTACAAATACATTTACTTCATCCAATTTACCTATTACTTCAGAATTGGGTGGAATTCTGCGACGCTTTAGCTCGCTATTAATGGAATTCCACGTTTATCCAATATTCATAAATTCTAGCATTTACTTTGTTGTTAAAAGAGATGTCGCGCAACACTTACAGTTAAACATTTTAAGGTTTCATCAGACAATTATGTACATACCTGGTAGTGTGGAATTTGCTTAAAGGAAGAAGAAAAAAACAAAAGACCAATTGCTCGTCCTCTTAAACATTGATCTGTAAAAAAAAAATAGTCATGAAAAGTACATCATAAATTGTTTGCAGTATGTATTTAAAAAACTTTGATCAACCCACACTGAGGACATGCTTCTTATTAATATAATCAGTTCAAATTTAGTGGAACCGCCCGATAAGAATGAGAATCGGTTAAATACAAAGACATTTCTGATAATATAAGCTTTGTCCATTACTCAATATAAGAAATCTGCCGAGTTAATTGAAAACAATTGGAACAAATTATGCTCTTTACCTATAGCTCCAGTCTCCGCACCGATTTTTTATCAAACAAAGATTTGAAGTAACAAATTTTTAAAGAATATCTTTTTCTTTTCATACATTTTGCGAGGTACTAAAGCTATTGACATCGATATACTGATAAACTTAAATAAGGCATGCTTAAGTAGCCCGAAGATTCATTGCGTGCTATGGTCAACCCTAAATATTTAACTCTGATTTCGAATAAGCAACTACAACAATTCTCTAAATCTACAAATTATTAAATAACAAATCAAATCTAGACTAAATTGTTAAACCATCAGACGAAGTCAATACGTTTTGACATTTCCTACCCTTCGTATCACCCATTTTTGAGACCTTTGGGAAGCCGGCTTTAAATCTATTAAAATCATAACAAATCTTCGCATTTCCCTAAAACTAGAACATCCTACATCCTTAACTATTTGGGAACACTAATTCAACCTAGGTCTACCTCTACTCCTCTTAACTCCTACATCACAAATTTCTAACAACACAGAAATACCGACCCCCAATAAACTCTTCAAAACTGTTGTTCAACAAATACATTAAAAATCCGAAAATTATTCTTTGCCGACATGAATTGTTTATCATTATATCATCAGAAACAACTTGAAATGTTAGGTACCTCGTTATCGTCACTGTCCTTGTGAGGTAGATTTAATTTTTTATGGTTAGGTAACTACTAAATACACATAATTATTGTTAACATTAAATTTGTTTATTGTTCTTTTGATAAAAAAAATAGTTTGTATGTACATAGAAATTGATGTTTCTCCAGTCTGGTATTAAATATGTTCCTATTTATCCTTTCTCATAATAGTCATTTAAATAATAAAAAAGTAACAAAATGGTGAAGTTTAGATACCTAATCAATAATTGGGAGTTTATGGTAGCAATAAATCATTTATCGGTTATTTCCATTAAATTTTATTGTGGCGTGATGTATGCGTATATACTTATACGATTTAAGGGATTTTCTTTGTCAAAAGATATCAAAAAAGATAACAGGGAATAAATATAACACATATATTAACATATCAACGATTTTTTTAAATACTAAATTTTAGAAAGCTGCAATAAATATTTACTTCTTTTCTTGCACGTACCTTCATTTTAAATGCTTGACATTATGGTTTTATCTACTTGCTAATTAGACGAATCCGGCTAGCACATTTAAATTTTTATTCGTATTTTGTTTTTTTTTTTTGAATAAATTAAATAAATATATGCAGACATGCTCATATTTCAAAAACATGTTTGCCACGTTTTAGACATTTTATGCTAAAACATCGAAGCAGGTAAACGATTAGTTATGATAACAATAAATATATGGTACGCGAATAACACAGGCTGTACTCAAAAAGATAATTTTAGTTTTCTTGCAATGTATGCATATGTAACTGTATTGCTTTACATGTAAATAAAGGCCTAAATGTAGGAGCTGCGCGGTCAACCCTAGGTTTGAAATTTAATTAACCCCTTTAAGCTAACGGCAAAACACGTTTTAAGTTTAATTTCAAATCGAGGCAACTTAAACGTATCCTAAAAAACGACAAAAATGAATTATAGATGAGTACACAAATTGTGATATACAGTAATTGTTATGTGTAACCAACAAAAAATGGTTTCTCTAAATTTTCTTTTGTTTTGTTTCAGCTGTTTGGAAAGCTGCTATTGGAACTTAATCGAGAAACACTTTTGCTTCGACGAAGAGATCGCCTTATACACAGAAGAATCGTCTGGTAAAGATGAGAAAAACAATAATCTATATGACAACTTGGCTTTTTACGACAAGGTTGCTATAATAGCAGGTCGATCGATCGTTACTATCGATCCGTTGCCCTCGAAAACAGATCCCCCTACCCCCGTAATCAGCCAACCTCCTCGAAGAATACGATGGTGGGAAGATGATGTAGATGAACAGAACAGAAAAAACGAAGAAAAAATCGTACGTCATGCGCAAAGCAATGAGGAATTATCATCGCAAAACAAAAACCAAGAATCAGAAAATATACCGCAACTAAAAATTGAACCTGACAGGGAAAAATCGAAAAGCAGCATCGACATATCCACTACTGACGACAAATCCAAAAAAGAAAATGAATTACCTATCATTTCGCGATTAAAACCAGCTGAAGAGAACCTAGCATCAAGTAGTAACAATAGCAGTAGAAGTTCTCTAGACGAGAAACCAAAGATACGAAAAAAATCGCTTAGAGAAAGACGTATGTCAAGAAGTTTGACTTTAGACATAGAAAGGGCGCTCGAGCTTCCCATAATCAAACAGCAATCAATGCCCAAATTTTACGTAGATTCACCAGATGCAAGTAGACTCGATATTTCTGGTTCTCCTAGCTCAGTTTTAGTGAGCCCGAGAATCAGAAAAGAAAGCAAGGCGTACGAGTATGATCTACGTTCTGTTGTACAAATTGAAAATGAGAAGAAAAAGAAAATCCAACAGCATGCACCCATCCACAAACAGATGAGTCAATCAAAACTGCAGAGTATTAAGGATAAACTTATTAGACCGCAGGATAAACTAAAGCACCAATTCTCGACAGGAAGCCTGCCAAATGTAGTTAATTACATTTAATTTCTATTAATAATTAGTATATTTGAACCTGTGAACCAACATTCGTCCTTAAAATGTGATATTTTCAATGGCCATACCTTTAATTTCTTGCCAAAAGAAAATTAATATAAGTTGACTTACCGTTAATTTAAACTTAACAAACAGCAAAACTATATGAATACGTAAACTATAATGTTAAAAAATTATTTTTAAACACATTCCATATTATGTACGTACTATTAATTTATTACCTTGTCTATAACTTTAAAAGTAATCTTCTGTTTGTAAAATAGGAGATATATAATATAATTCATGATATACAAATTTAAAAGGAACTTAATTTCAAATCACAAATAAAAGAGATGACTACTCTTGTACATATAAATGTTCCTTGTTAGGAAAAGAAAAAGACAGTACAAATACATTTACTTCATCCAATTTACCTATTACTTCAGAATTGGGTGGAATTCTGCGACGCTTTAGCTCGCTATTAATGGAATTCCACGTTTATCCAATATTCATAAATTCTAGCATTTACTTTGTTGTTAAAAGAGATGTCGCGCAACACTTACAGTTAAACATTTTAAGGTTTCATCAGACAATTATGTACATACCTGGTAGTGTGGAATTTGCTTAAAGGAAGAAGAAAAAAACAAAAGACCAATTGCTCGTCCTCTTAAACATTGATCTGTAAAAAAAAAATAGTCATGAAAAGTACATCATAAATTGTTTGCAGTATGTATTTAAAAAACTTTGATCAACCCACACTGAGGACATGCTTCTTATTAATATAATCAGTTCAAATTTAGTGGAACCGCCCGATAAGAATGAGAATCGGTTAAATACAAAGACATTTCTGATAATATAAGCTTTGTCCATTACTCAATATAAGAAATCTGCCGAGTTAATTGAAAACAATTGGAACAAATTATGCTCTTTACCTATAGCTCCAGTCTCCGCACCGATTTTTTATCAAACAAAGATTTGAAGTAACAAATTTTTAAAGAATATCTTTTTCTTTTCATACATTTTGCGAGGTACTAAAGCTATTGACATCGATATACTGATAAACTTAAATAAGGCATGCTTAAGTAGCCCGAAGATTCATTGCGTGCTATGGTCAACCCTAAATATTTAACTCTGATTTCGAATAAGCAACTACAACAATTCTCTAAATCTACAAATTATTAAATAACAAATCAAATCTAGACTAAATTGTTAAACCATCAGACGAAGTCAATACGTTTTGACATTTCCTACCCTTCGTATCACCCATTTTTGAGACCTTTGGGAAGCCGGCTTTAAATCTATTAAAATCATAACAAATCTTCGCATTTCCCTAAAACTAGAACATCCTACATCCTTAACTATTTGGGAACAATNTGTAATATGACCAGTAAGTAGCTGGCTAATTGTAAATGAAAAAGATGTATTCTAAAAATAGTAAGTATCTTATGTTATAGAAGACCATAGTTTTCTTATAACTTGTAAGAGAAAAATATAATCTTTATTAACATTTAAATAAGGAAAAAATAAAGTGTAACCAAATAAGAGCACAAATTATTAACTTTATCATTTTTTCTAGTCAACAATAAGAACAGTGTTATCATCAGAATCAGAACTCTCTACCTCAATAACTGGTATATCATTTACTGTACAGTTATTGCAACGATTCTCAATTATAGGACCTGTTACTGTCTCAGTATCATCAGAAATATCAACTACTTCAATCTCTGACTTAACTGCAAGAAATGTCTCTACTTCTTTCATTATGTTTCTCCAAAAAAGCAATTTTTTTTCAGAAGCAATTGCAACTTGTGTCAGTAATTTCATATACGTTACTACACTGTTGTAGAAATATTTATCTAAAATGGTTATTTGAAAAACTATCACACAAATACTGTATTCTATACTGTTTACCTCTTCTGTTGACTACAAAATCTAAATTATCAAAGGGACAACCAATGTAAATATCACAACTAATTTTCCAAGATGATTTGAAAAACAATTTTTCTCTAAAAGCACAGTGTATTACTATGCCATTCTCATCATCTTTACTAATAGTAATGAGATCTTCAAATTCTCTCATCAACATATTAATGATTATGCTTCGCTGAGAATACAAATTCACAACTTTTTGAAGGACACATACAACAAAGTCAGGGCATCTTTGTCTTTGTAAATAATTAATGCAAGGTTGAATTTCATGCTCCAACTCTTTATTTGTTAATCTTATCTTTAAAGAGAGTGGGTGTAACGTTCCTGGATCCTGTCAAGTAAAACTTTGTTGAATTCAAAAAAATATATATTCCTCATATAACATACCTCTAGAGGTGTTTTGATTTTCATTTGGCAACTGCATTTTTCATTAAGGTAAAATAAAACTGTGAACTTCAAGAACGTTCCTTCCTCGGAAAATATTTTAGTACAAGTTACATCAGGTGGTTCTTCATATTTAAAACTATTTTTAAATTTTTTTATATAAACGTCATTTTCAAATTCAGCATCAGTCATGTTTATAGCTAAGTTAATGACGGATATGATTAGGTTAATTGATAAATTATTGATGACAGTAAATTATATCACTACAATTTTTTGATATAAAATATTTTGATAAGTTATTTCGAAATTTTGATAATAAAAGTGTCAGCTACAAAGAAAATATGTAAGCGAGGTGTATTGTATTCAAGTAGCAAAATGCATTAATGCAGTTCTTTATCCCATTGATGAGGGCCGAAGTTCTCATTTTCTAAGAAAATGTAGACCCTGTTTCTCATATGTGACCATTTGGTTTCCTTTCATAATTTCCAGAATTTGTCAATATTTTTTATAATGGCTTCTACCAGAAATTCTACTGTTCTTAAAATAATGCTTAAAGTAAGTATTAATAGTTATGTAATCGCACTTATGCACTGTTGACTATTAGATATTACTGTTACCCTTTGTATATCTATTATCTATGACTGTGACTAAAAAGTACTAACCAAACTCACAACTAGGTATATATTTGATTAAATCGTACGATGAATGTATCCAAATTTCCAAATCCTATACCAGTTAATTAAAATAGTAATTGCGCTTACGAAAAGATTAAGAGTTATATTTTGTTTTCAAAATTACCTAAGGGAGGAAATGACTATGATTACGGTGACTAAGTGGTGACAACCATTATTAGCATTACGATCAGTATTATAAAATTAGTAAGCAAAATTGAAAAAATGAACGACAGTAATCAGCTGATCAGTTTCACAAACATAAAGTAATAAAGGTTGTTGCGATTTGTGACGAACATGAGCTATTTAATTTTGTAAGCTATGAACAAGGTAGTGTGAGTAATTGATAGTAGTCTAATTTAATTAATGAATATATAATTATTTATCGATTCAAAGGTGGAAGTTTTAAAAACAATGCTAACCTCTGTCCAGTTTCTTGTATTGAATTACATAATATTATAATAAATTTTGCATGTAATATCAGTGCAATGAAAGAGTAGTAAGAAATGGACTATTGAATAATAGGAAAGTAATAGTAAAAAGGATGGGTTACAATATAGACTGGATAATTCCTTATTTACGAAGCCCCTCAAGACTATGGAGTTTTGCTAGCACAATTACAGTAATAGCAGTGGGTTTATTTAGTAAAATTGTGATAAGTAAGTAGCAAACAAATTAATTATACAATATATAAATAAAATAAAGGAGAAAAAATCTACAAATCTCGCGAACGATCGGTAATATTGGAAATAGTTGCCATGCACAATACATTCTTTTTGTTGACGCATTTAAATGTACATCAGTTGTATTTTTACCTTTGGATGCTATTCACATACTTTATGTTTTGGAACATTCCTCATTATTTTCGGAAACTTCCCGTAAACTCCTTTTGCTACAATTCAAACCTAACTGGCTTATAAAAATTATTACATATAAGAACAACATAAAATATCAGCCGCATAATTGTATTTGAAATCTTATTTTTCCTTTCAGGTCTGAAATGACATAACCTTGTATGTATTTATTTTTTTTCCTGTAAATTTTGTTTTCAAATATTCCTAATAATTTCCAATATTCTAACTGACATTTGGATTTTCGAACTGTTTCAATTTTCGGCACAAAAACATACAAAACTCAAGAACTACTGTATGAATTCGGTATGGTCTTCAATAGCTATTGAAGATAATATTACCTTTGGATCGTTTATTTGTAGGTTTTGCTTTATTATCGCCAACATTAAGGATATTATTTTTTGAAAACAGATTTTCGACTAAAAATACCTAACTTCAGAATTCTATAATAACTGGATTGATTCTTCGTTCTTTTCGATGGCACCATGTATTGTTGTAATGCCTGCCGCTTTCACAAATATTTATTTGTACCGTGTTTTTCTAAGTACCATATTGACTTAATCAATTTGATAATAAAAACTGCTAACGCATTTGTGTTTAAGTATATTTACTTGACGAATAAAATCTGAACAAGAAAAATAGGTTCGATCGAATTTTAAAATAAAACTGATTTTCCAACTTTCAAGTTCAGAAAATTCTATTAAACATTAAATGATTTAGCCACATATAGTGTTTTTTAGAATTATGTTACAGAATTGCCATAATCATCAATTAACCTACATTCTTTAAATTTGGCACGAAGCCTTGTAGGAAAACTTCATAGCAGAAGTAAAGGAAANACTTCTAAAAGATGTCTAAATTGTATGTATGTTTAATCATAGTATATTCAGTATATAGTTACATTAGTTCGACGGATCGTTAACCTTGTAGGTCGGTTGGTCGTGGTTGTTGTTGTCACCTCTCGTAGTTTAGTGGTCAGAACATTGGTGCGTAAAGCCAAAGGTCCCGGGTTCGATTCCCGGCGGGGGTGTGACAACAGCAACAATTTTTCCCTCATTAATTTGAGGTAGCGTGTAGTGGGTATAAAATTCAAAAATGAATTTTCAGAATAATATTTCATATAAAACGAATGTTTCAAAACAGTACTTTTACTCAATGTTCCGCAATGAAATGAAAAATATAACAATACTTTTGAAGCGAGGTTTGCACAAGGATTTCGCTTCCGATTTGAAATTTCTGCTCATAAGGACGACGACCTTACAAAGTACATATACATTATACACATACACGACGGAAACTCTATTTAGAAACTTCTTGCCGTGGTCCTTAGGGACGACCGCGGCAGTTGACTTTTTTAAAGGAGCACATACGATAATGTTCATTATCGTATTTAAACCGTTCTATTGGAAAAAGTATGGGAAAAGTTTTTAAACATTTCTCTCTTCTTTACAGGGAATGTGACAGCGGTAACATTCTAGACAACTTGTTGTCTAGAATGGAACAGTACGCGAACAATTTGGAAACGTTGGTAGAAGAACGAACCGCCGATTATTTGGAAGAGAAAAGGAAATGCGAAGAACTTCTCTATCAACTGCTGCCAAAAACCGTGGCACATCAGCTTATTGGAGGACAGGCCGTTATCGCCGAAACCTTTGATCAAGTTACGATTTATTTCAGCGATATTGTGGGATTCACTGCTCTCTCAGCGGAAAGTACTCCCCTCCAAGTTGTAGACCTTCTAAACGACCTCTACACTTGCTTCGATTCCATTATTGAAAATTTTGATGTCTATAAGGTAAGTTAAATTTTATTGCGTAAAGAAAAAACAAAAACTGAGCCCTTAGAGGCTTAGAGACTGCACAATTCTTCAAATAGTCTTTACTCCCTTTCACACCCTCGCAATCTCAACACAAAATTTTGTCCATATGTAGACGTTTCTGATAAGGATCGCATTTTCTAGGTAACAAAATTTTCTCGTTTATTGCGAAGTGAAGTCGAAAAAACTTTTTATTGTGTTCCTCAGCAGTAATGGTAGTGTCACTAGGAATCTTTTAAAAAATTTCATTTATCACTTTTCATTATAAAATCCCGTTTATAAATATGTATTAAACGTCAAAATCGTTTACTGCGTTCTCTCCTCCGGCATTTCTGAATAAAACTGTCAGAAAATATGGAAAAAATCTACATAGGTTTTGTAGAGATAATTAACTTGAAACTGTAAAAAGACTACGAAATCCTGTCGTGTGTGTCCGACACGTTCTCGGTGAAAATCTTTTGAAAGATAAAATTAAATATACACCAAGGGGATTCTTTTGAAGTATCACAAATCCAGATAAAATAATACTTTCAAACAAAAGAAAAACTATCTACGTTTATTGCGTTTCATGTTAAAACCTTTTTGGATATTTAATACATAACAGAATTACAGACTGGCAGTTAGCAGTTAAAAAAAATGTTAGAACTGTGTTACAGCATTGCACTTAAGTGCTATCCTTAGAGGATATATTATAAGGAGTAATCGTTCCTGTCCTCAATATACTATAATGCATGAAGTTACTGTAGAGGGCGCCGTTCTACTTTTTGGGTATTTTCTCTTACGCGATCTAATTTTAGCTCTTCCTTTGCACAGACGTTAAAGAGAGAAAGAAAATTCAACCACGAAGCGCCTTCTATGAAAGCTTGAAAGCTTCACGTTTGCAGTGGAAACGAGCACTCCATATAATATGTCCTAAAAATGGTAACACAAAGCCATCAATTTATTCATACAAACCATTAAAACACCCTTGACTCATGCGTTTGAGATTAAAACACACAATTCACAGTCACCAACCAAGTCTAAACGTCTGCTAGCCGCTTTTGAAACCAACACTGCTTTCAGAAATGCCTAGGCTGGATTGAAACTAACGATTTATTCCAATTGTCTGCGACATATACATGAGTTGAATAAGATCTTCCACTAGTGCGATGTAAAGCGGGAAAATACAATTATTTAATCATTATCTCGGATACTGTGTTGGTAATCCGATTACGAAGTATGTGATAGCAGAACAAGAAACTGAGCTTGTAGTTCTTTATTAATCTGTTAGCAAGCAACCTCTACTTATTCCTACAAGTTTCGGTTTTGTACCTTAATAATTTTTGAATTTTCCTTTCAATTGTGTTTAGTTCTAAAAATTCTACAAAGTACCTTTTTCCTGTCAACATTTTTGAATTGAACGTGAAAATATTAAATACTTTAGTCACGAAGTTTAGAAATTTCCGTATTTTCATAATGTTTACGTCTAACGTAGTTAGTAATTCACGGGGCACATTTGAAATTCTGAAGAGCGACTTAAAGATTTCAATTCTGTTGAAGTGCTTACAGTAACTTAACAAACAATTCAAAAGTTACTAATTAATGTTCATTTATTTTCTAAACAGTACAACATCGGAGTTTGAAAAGGTGCTTATATAATTTTACAATAACGAGTTGTTGCTATAAAGTAGACTATTGTTAAATTCAGTTTGTCGTTTAAAATCGTATTCTCTTCATCATCATAAGGTCGTCAGGTCTAAGGTTAGTTGGACACGCACTTCCACTCTTTCTTATCCTAAGCTAATCTTCGCATTTCCCTAAAACTAGAACAACCCACATCCTGAACTATCTGCGAACAGTAATCTAATCTTATCTACCTCCTCTTAACTCCCGTTTCTGCCTCTAATATGTCTCTGACTAGACCTTCATGCCTGAGAAGGTGTCCTACCAACCTATCTCGCCTATTTATTATTGACTTCCATAGAGTCCTCAGTTTTCCTATTCTTTCTAAAACCTCTTCATTTCTAACCTTCTCTATCCACGGTATCCTCATCATTCGTCTGTAACACCACAGTTCGAACGCTTCTAACCTTTTCTTTTCCGCCGCGCCCACCGTCCATGTTTCGCACGTGTACATATACCTTTAACAATCTTTTTCGAATTGTCTTTATTTTTAATGAAGGCCACTCTACCTTGCGCTATCCTTTGCTTTATATCCCTACTACTCCTTCCGTCCTGACTTATCTGACTTTCTAGATACCTTAAAACAACCAGTTCTTCTAATTTTTCATTTCCTATCTTTATATTCGCTCTCCCCACTTTCTAACTTTTTGTTTTACTTTTATTTATTTTCATACAATACTGTTTTGTCAATACTGCTTCATTTTATTTAACGCTATCTCTAACTCCTCCTTTCTATATGCTAATACTGCTAAATCATCTGCAAATCTAAGCATACTAATCTTTTGCCCCTGTACATCTATCCTTACAGTTGTACTGTCTTTAATGATTTTGATCGCGTCTTCGATGTATAGATTAAAAAGTAGTCCCTTATTAATATCTAGTTCTCTACGTTGCAGCCCCAACTCCATAACTGCCTGTTTCTCTTTATACAAGTAACTAAGTATCACTCTTCTATCTCTGTAACTCATCCCTACATTTTTTTTTGTATTATTTCAAATATGAAATTTAAACTTTTATTGAACGTATTTCGTAGTGTACGGATTATTATAAAGTGAAATATCTTTTTATTGAATTTCACATGTTTAATATGTTGGCACGTGTTCAGAACCAATGGCGAATTAAAATAGGAAACATTAGTTCACGATCTTTTTGGTCTCGCATGATAAGGAAACTTTAAGGAATTACTTAAGATTATTAAAAATTGCATGAAGCAAGAGAAAAAATATAATAGCAATTACCTCCTAAAAAATAAAAAGTTTTCTTAACATTTGTGTTTATGTACAAGTCACTCGGAATTATATAAGGTAGTATACGTGCACTACTTCAAAAATTAAAAAAATATTGTGCGACCTCTGTAAATTAACGCTTAAAATTAAGTTTTCAGAATATTTATAGCTTTAAAAGAGGACGATAAGAAAAGAAAGTAATTGATTCATTGATTTTGGGAATTTTCATAAGAGATCAAGATTTGTTTTTTTTTTTTGGCGACCCTAATATACCTACGTTTGCATGTGTAGATAGACATTAGAGAGAGCTAATTTTCGTTTGCAAAGAAAAAGATTGAATCCTCAGTCCCATTATATTCGCGTGATACACATCCACTTTAGTAAATTGCTTAGGCTTTTAGACGCTTTTCAAAATTATTACAACGTAGAAATGGATATTGAAATTTAAGACTTAAACGAGAGAAGAATTTATCAAGTACGTTTACGATTTTTATTTGTTTTCATTAATTTTAACTACCTTAGCAATCAATTAATCTTTTAACGCCACTCCATTAAGTCTTCATAATTTCAAAAATCTCGCTTCCGTAGTGTTTAATAACTTCCTCTTAAATGTCGTAAAGTATAATCCTACGTAAGTTTAATAAACACTGCATACGGAAGATAAGGCTTTCTTTTATCCTTTTTCCACTTTAAACAACACGATGTGCCAAGTGCAGCTAGAGAGGAATTAATTCCCTTATTCAAAACAAAATTTAAATTTAGATAAAAATATCGTAAAATACACAAGTTTATATCTGTTTCTATTGCATGAAAAAGCTCGTTTTTGGGTTAAAATTAAAACGGAGGCCGTAAAATAAACAATGGCGGTGGAAACGAAGAAAAGATTTTGTATCATACCGAGTGGCACATCACTCAAAATCAGGATGATATTTCCTAGACCACAAGTTCCGTTTAAGAATTACACAGTTAAATTAAACTTCTATATACTAGGGTCAATTGAAAAGTCCCCCTGCCTGACACATAGATGGCGGCACCAGAACTAAATCCATATGATTTTCAGTTAGTCCTAACCTTCAAAAGACGCGTCTATAAATTTGACGGGTGTCGGATCATTAGTTTGTGAATTATAGCATTTTTAGTGAAGCAACTTTTGTTATTGTGAAAAAAATGGATAAAAAGGAATTTCGCGTGTTGATAAAATATTGCTTTTTGAAGGGAAAAAATACAGTTGAAGCAAAAACTTGGCTTGATAACGA